GGTAGCAAGTAGACATGAAAACAAAATCCCCAGGTAGCCTCTAGCAGGGCTGTAGGGGCAAGTGCTGTCAGTAACAAGTAGACATAAAGACAAAAATCCCCAGGTAGCCTCTAGCAGGGCTGTAGTGGCAATTGATGTCAGTAGCAAGTAGACATGAAGACAACAATCCACATACTCTTCGGTTCTTTCGGTAAAGTCACGTAGGTAAAAAAGTGATCTGAAGAAACTATGTGGATGGCACGTGACCACCCAGGTACACACACAAAGACAAAGATCAAAGTGCTGTTAGCGAGCACCTATGAAGGCCGGAACGACGCACGAAGGGGTGGGTGGCCAGCACCACGCCCGTCCGCCTTTGTCTCCCCAGTGGCCACGTTTACACACTGCACCAGGTACTCATTTGAGGCTGAGTCAACCTAGGGGAGGCCCAGGTCCGGTTCAGATAATCGTCACTGGTGATGGCCGTGAGCGGAAATCGAACCCGGGTCGCCAGGTTCATAGAGCAGCGCGCTAACCGCTACACTAGCTCCCCATATAAACAACTGCCATTCACCCAAAGTGGCAGTGACGTCACCACGACGCTTATGCCAGGCCATGTGCACCTTGAGGCCACGTGAAGTGTCGAAACCCACTGACAGGAGGCCACGGGGCAGACCCAGCTGCTACGGGTCGACTGACTGAGATGACTGGCTGATGCACCACCTGTGCCCCCTACTGTGCCAACTTGCTGTGCTTTAGTCACCCGGCGCTCCGCTCATTGCTGTGAGCGTCGCTCCTCCGCCCTCCGTTGTTGTTGGAGGGCAACTGCCTCCAACTGCCCAGTAGCGTCCTTCACGAGCCTCCTCCACTGAGGCCGATCTTGACACTGCTGGTACCAGTCATCGGCAAATCCACTCAGCTCCACAACCTCCTATAACACATCACTGCATCGCTTCTCTAGCCCGTGCTGCGCCCGTTTAGCCCCCTCGATCCGGCCGAACAAAAGCTGTTTGGGCATGCGGTGTGGGCATGCGGGCTACATGGCCCAGCCAACTCAGCCTTGCCTGCTGGAGGTGCTCACCGATGGGACTTTTTCCAGATCTTTCAAAGATTTGTGAGCTCCTCATACAACCCAGCCTGGTTAAACCCAGGAATGATCGTAGGCAGGCCAGCCTGAATGTTTCTAAACGGCGAATATGTTCCATTAGGTGGGTCCACGTTTCGCAAGCGTAGAGAAGGGAGGGAATAACTGTGGCCGAGAAGACCCAAAGCTTCGTGCAGAGCGACAGACCAGGTTGCTTCACACAGCGTTATGCAACCGATGAAAAGATAATGCCGCTCGACTGATTCGGAGTGAGACCTCTGCTGTTAAATTGGAGCGGTCACAGGTACACACACACGACACACACAATAAAACACACAAACGGACACACACACACATCCAGACACACACAAACGGACACACACAGGCACACACAGGTAGACACACTGACACATACACACAAACGGACACATGCATGGGACACTGCAAATGCGATCTGTCACTTCTGATCCTTCCCCACACGCATGTGTATCGGTGATAGTTACACGGGGTATACGCGTTACGCATGGGTTACATAGGTTGTATGGGCTGCAGGCGTTGTATGGTACATCTTCGTGCACCCACCAGAAAGACGGCGAGCATGAGCGCTGTGATGGCGAGAATGGCGTAGCAAACGATGGCTTCCATCGAGAAACAATCAAAGCCACCGCCACCGTGATCACCATCACCAGCGCCACCAACTTCACCATGACCAAGACCACCACCATCAAATCCATCACCACGGCTGGTTTGAGACTCTAGTGCAGCGTCCGTGAAGTGTTTGGCCTGAACAGCCAAATCGGTGATCGTCTCTGCCACTGGGAAATGGAACGTACGGACACACGGACACGGGTACACACACACAGACACACAGACAGGTAAACATACACACAGGTTACACACACAGGTTACACACACACAGGTTCACACACAGGTTAACACGCAGCTACACACACAAAGAGAAAGATCCAAGTGATGTTAGCAAGCACCTATGAAGGCCAGACCGGCACATGATGGCGTGGGTTGCCAGCACCACGCCCGGCCGCCTTTGTCTCTCCAGTGGCGATGATTTCACACCGCACCAGGTACTCATTTAAGGCTGAGTCGACCTAGGAGAGGCCCAGGACCGGTCTAGATAATTGACAGATTTACTGTCCTCACTTGGTACAGTAAATCTAGCTTTGACGGTCCCACCTGATGATGGAGACTTGTGTTGCCTCCGAAACGTCGTGATTTATGATTATATTTGTTTCTATTATTACTTTTATTAATTTAATTTTTTACCTGATGGCCTTAATCTAAGTTGTCTTGTGGTTGTTATTGTTGTTTGACTTGCATCCCACTGGGATGTTTGCACACAGCGTTGGTGTACGGTGCTTTTTCTGCAATATTTTGTCGTCTTTTCTTGGATTTTCTGTTTGCACTCAGTCACATATTCACTTTAAGATGTTTTCTTGTTCAAGTTTTTGTTTTTTGTTTGTTGCGGTTGCACCCGATTCAAGAGCCGAATGGCTCACGGGGCTATACCTAACACATGAAACTTGAACTTGAACCAAAAAAAACCTAAGAGTATAAACCACCTCGGCAAAGTTCACGGAAGGGGCCTTCTGGAAGCCCCGGGATCCAGCTCGTAGGTTCTAGAAGGGGGGCGTGGTGAGGGCGGAGCAAGGTCACGTGGTGAGGGCGGAGCAAGACCACGTGGTGAGGGTGGTGCAAGGTCACGTGGTGAGGGCAGAGCAAGGTCACGTGGTGAGGGCAGAGCAAGACCACGTGGTGAGGGAGGAGCAAGACCACGTGGTGAGGGCAGAGCAAGACCACGTGGTGAGGGAGGAGCAAGACCACGTGGTGAGGGTGGTGCAAGGTCACGTGGTGAGGGCAGAGCAAGACCACGTGGTGAGGGAGGAGCAAGGTCACGTGGTGAGGGTGGTGCAAGGTCACGTGGTGAGGGCAGAGCAAGACCACGTGGTGAGGGAGGAGCAAGGTCACGTGGTGAGGGTGGTGCAAGGTCACGTGGTGAGGGGGCAGAGCAAGGTCACGTGGTGAGGGAGGAGCAAGGTCACGTGGTGAGGGAGGAGCAAGGTCACGTGGTGAGGGAGGAGCAAGGTCACGTGGTGAGGGCAGAGCAAGGTCACGTGGTGAGGGAGGAGCAAGGTCACGTGGTGAGGGCGGAGCAAGGTCACGTGGTGAGGGAGGAGCTAGACCACGTGGTGAGGGAGGAGCTAGACCACGTGGTGAGGGCGGAGCAAGACCACGTGGTGAGGGAGGAGCTAGACCACGTGGTGAGGGAGGAGCTAGACCACGTGGTGAGGGAGGAGCTAGACCACGTGGTGAGGGCGGAGCTAGACCACGTGGTGAGGGAGGAGCTAGACCACGTGGTGAGGGAGGAGCTAGACCACGTGGTGAGGGAGGAGCAAGACCACGTGGTGAGGGAGGAGCAAGACCACGTGGTGAGGGAAGAGCTAGACCACGTGGTGAGGGAGGAGCTAGACCACGTGGTGAGGGAGGAGCTAGACCACGTGGTGAGGGAGGAGCAAGACCACGTGGTGAGGGAGGAGCTAGACCACGTGGTGAGGGAGGAGCTAGACCACGTGGTGAGGGAGGAGCTAGACCACGTGGTGAGGGAAGAGCTAGACCACGTGGTGAGGGAGGAGCTAGACCACGTGGTGAGGGAGGAGCAAGACCACGTGGTGAGGGAGGAGCAAGACCACGTGGTGAGGGAGGAGCAAGACCACGTGGTGAGGGAGGAGCAAGACCACGTGGTGAGGGAGGTGCAAGACCACGTGGTGAGGGAGGAGCAAGACCACGTGGTGAGGGAGGAGCAAGACCACGTGGTGAGGGAGGAGCAAGACCACGTGGTGAGGGAGGAGCAAGACCACGTGGTGAGGGAGGTGCAAGACCACGTGGTGAGGGAGGAGCAAGACCACGTGGTGAGGGAGGAGCAAGACCACGTGATGAGGGAGGAGCAAGACCACGTGGTGAGGGAGGAGCTAGACCACGTGGTGAGGGAGGAGCAAGACCACGTGGTGAGGGAGGAGCTAGACCACGTGATGAGGGAGGAGCAAGACCACGTGGTGAGGGAGGAGCAAGACCACGTGGTGAGGGAGGAGCAAGACCACGTGATGAGGGAGGAGCAAGACCACGTGGTGAGGGAGGAGCAAGACCACGTGGTGAGGGAGGAGCTAGACCACGTGGTGAGGGAGGAGCAAGACCACGTGGTGAGGGAGGAGCTAGACCACGTGATGAGGGAGGAGCAAGACCACGTGGTGAGGGAGGAGCAAGACCACGTGGTGAGGGAGGAGCAAGACCACGTGATGAGGGAGGAGCAAGACCACGTGGTGAGGGAGGAGCAAGACCACGTGGTGAGGGAGGAGCTAGACCACGTGGTGAGGGAGGAGCAAGACCACGTGGTGAGGGAGGAGCTAGACCACGTGGTGAGGGAGGAGCAAGACCACGTGGTGAGGGAGGAGCAAGACCACGTGATGAGGGAGGAGCTAGACCACGTGGTGAGGGAGGAGCAAGACCACGTGGTGAGGGAGGAGCAAGACCACGTGGTGAGGGAGGAGCAAGACCACGTGGTGAGGGAGGAGCTAGACCACGTGGTGAGGGAGGAGCAAGGTCACGTGGTGAGGGAGGAGCAAGGTCACGTGGTGAGGGCGGAGCAAGACCACGTGGTGAGGGAGGTGCAAGGTCACGTGGTGAGGGCAGTGCAAGGTCACGTGGTGAGGGCGGTGCAAGGTCACGTGGTGAGGGCGGTGCAAGGTCACGTGGTGAGGGCGGTGCAATGTCACGTGGTGAGGGCGGTGCAAGGTCACGTGGTGAGGGCGGTGCAAGGTCACGTGGTGAGGGCGGTGCAAGGTCACGTGGTGAGGGCGGTGCAAGGTCACGTGGTGAGGGCGGTGCAAGGTCACGTGGTGAGGGCGGTGCAAGGTCACGTGGTGAGGGCGGTGCAAGGTCACGTGGTGAGGGAGGAGAGGTCACGTGGTGAGGGCGGTGCAAGGTCACGTGGTGAGGGCGGTGCAAGGTCACGTGGTGAGGGCGGTGCAAGGTCACGTGGTGAGGGCGGTGCAAGGTCACGTGGTGAGGGAGGAGCAAGGTCACGTGGTGAGGGCGGTGCAAGGTCACGTGGTGAGGGAGGAGCAAGACCACGCTGGGAGGATAACAATGGGGCCCTTCGTGCGAGAGCTCGGGGCTGTTGCTGGGAGGAGTCGACCGTCCTCGCCGTGCGACAGAGGTCGCAACTGGTACCCGATACCCGTACCCTACTCGATACCCGGCTACCCGTACCCGGCCGGGTATGGGTACGGGTACCCGTTTGCGACCCTGGTGCGGCCGGGTACAGGTAGGCTGTGAGTCACTGGTGAGTAATCGGTTGTCACTCATTTCTCAACGTCTTGTCTCTTCTTACAATTCAAGTTCCTAGAATCAACCCACCCGCACCTGCAACATGGCTTCATCCCAGAGGTCGCAATTGGGTACCCGATACCCGTACCCTACCTGTACCCGGCCGGGTACGGGTAGGGTATCAAAACCCGTTTGCGACCTCTGCCGTGCGAACATCTCACCACCATCTGTGCCGCCGTAGCTCGACGTTGCTGAACGCCGCTAGCTCGACAGCCTGCAAACTTTTATAGCTCGTTAGTGCGGCCAACGATGGACGGTTGCGTATGTGTAAAATATATATGTTTGTGTGTGGCGTACACCCAGTTTAACACGTAGGCATTCTCGACCGACTGTCAGTGTCGGAGACCTCTCCTACATCAACATTAGCTGCCCGCCCATCTCTAAACCTTTAGAAACAGCTCTTTGATTGGTGTAGACCTACTGCCAGTGTCGGAGACCTCTCCTACATTAACATTAGCTGCCCCGTCGATCTCTAAACCTTTATAAACAGCTCTCTGATTGGTGTAAACCTACTGCCGGTGTCGGAGGCCTCTCCTACATTAACAACTGCCCCGCCCATCTCTAAACCTTTATAAGCAGCTCTCTGATTGATGTAGACTTACTGCCCGTGTCGGAGGTTTCTCCGACATTAACATAAGCTGCCCCGCCCATCTCTAAACCTTTATAAACAGCACTCTGATTGGTGTAGACCTACTGCCGGTGTCGTGGCCCTCTCCCTACATTAACATAAGCTGCCCCGCCCATCTCTAAACCTTTAGAAACAGCTTGCCATCAGAGGCTAACCTCCCTGTTCCTGATGACGCCCCCTTGTGTTGCGATTGAAACGTGGTGATATTTTTATTGTTTTCTATTAACTTTATTTTAATTTTATTTTATTATTATTTTATTGTTATTATCTTTTTCTTCTATCTTCGTTACTTTACCGAAAGAACCATAGAATGGTATTATTCATAATAACGTTTTTTGGGTTAGATCGCCTAAGTTTAAATGTGTCGCAACCCTCCTCCACGTGACATGGCCAATCAGTAAGAAATGTGTCACGTTAACAAAACGCCAATTAGTTCTTCAGCCCACCGGTGTGTTTGAAGAGTGAATCCACAACATTTAGAATTTGAGGACCACGACGTTTCGCTGGCGATTGCATCCAGCATCTTCGTACATGCAGGGAGCATGCACTCCCCCCTTGCGTGCGAGAATGAACAAGGTGCCTCCAATCTATACCGTCTCCGAACTGCGTCACTACACACTTTTTTTAGTGGGTTGGATCGCATGAATATGTAAAATTTGTGTCATTAAACCGGCCACCACCCGACACAGCCAATTTGTTACCAGTCCGGGTACAGGATGCAGGAACAGCTGCCCTCACCACTCACCTTAACTCACCAGCTCACCACTACCTCACCACTACCGCACAACTCCTCACCACCAGCTCTCCTCTCACCACCACGAGCTTCTGCTTCTCCACGTGGACCACTCCACTGATCTCCGGGTACAGGATGCAGGAGTAGCTCCATTCACCACTCACCTTTATTCACCAGCTCATCACTACCTTATTCATATTCTTAGGTTTTTTTCGGTAAAGTCACGTAGGTAAAAAATTAAAATTAATGAAAGTAAAATAAAAATAAAAATCACGACGTTTCGGAGGCAACACAAGCTTCCGTATTCAGATGGAACAGTCACAGCACGATAGCTGTATCAAGTGAGAGAAATTCCAAGAAACAGTATTTGTATATATACTGGTTGAGGGTGGGAGGAGCCAAGGTAGGCCCTGGATATTATTTTTGTGAGGTTCGGTGCGGCTGAAGCACGCTGTTAGGAATGAGCCTTTGTTGTGTAAACTAGGTGCGGATGATGTAAAGGTGCGTGTAAATGGGACTGAGCCTTTTGTTATGTAGAGATGATGCGGCGAGAATCATTGCGAGGAAATGATTCTTTGTTGTGTAGAATGGTTGACTGAGCCTATTGTTATGTAGAGGTGATGCGGCTTCCTCACCACTACCTCACAACTCCTCACCACCAGCTCACCTCTCACCACCACGAATCTCGTCCTCTGCACGTGCACCACTTCGCGGAGCTCTGGGTACAGGATGCAGGAGTAGCTCCATTCACCACTCACCTTAACTCATCAGCTCACCACTACCTCACCACTCCTCACCACCAGCTCACCTCTCACCTCCACGAGCTTCTGCTTCTCCACGTGGACCACTCCACTGATCTCTGGGTACAGGATGCAGGAGTAGCTCCATTCACCACTCACCTTAACTCACCAGCTCACCACTACCTCACCACTCCTCACCACCAGCTCACCTCTCACCACCACGAGTCTCGTCCTCTGCACGTGCACCACTTCGCCGAGCTCTGGGTACAGGTGGCACGAGTAGCTCCCCGCATCTTCTAAGCCGGCCCCGTCAATCTCGAGCGAGTTGTCGGGCGCCAGGCGGAAGCGGGGTCCGTACGCCGGGTTGTACTGCACTCCTACGTCGCGGCCGTCACCGCCAAGGTGCTTCACCAAGATGGTGTCATCGGAGCCCTCACCTGTCACCTGCGCAAGCACCCGGCCAAATCGTGATTATTGCAGGTGTAGTGGTGTAGTGTAGAGTGCAGTGTATAGTAGTGTAGTGTATAGTGTAGTGTATAGTAGTGTAGTGTATAGTGTAGTGTATAGTAGTGTAGTGTATAGTGTAGTGTATAGTAATGTAGTGTATAATGTAGTGTATAGCAGTGTAGTGTATAGTAGTGTAGTGTATCGTGTAGTGTAGTAGTAGTAGTGTGTAGTGTATAGTAGTGTAGTGTATAATGTAGTGTATAGCAGTGTCGTGTGTAATAGTGTGGTGTACAGTAGTGTCGTCTATAGTGTAGTGGATAGTAGTGTGGTGTATAGTAGTGTATAATGTAGTGTATAATGTAGTGTATAGTAGTGTAGTGTATAGTAGTGTAGTGTATAGTATATAGTAGTGTAGTGTATAGTGTAGTGTATAGCAGTGTCGTGTGTAGTAGTGTGGTGTACAGAAGTGTAGTCTATAGTGTAGTAGATAGTAGTTTGGTGTATAGTAGTGTATAATGTAGTGTATAATGTAGTGTATAACAGTGTAGTGCATAGTCGTGTACAGTGTAGTGTATAGTAGTGTATAGTGCAGCGTATAGTAGCGTATCGTAGTGTAGTGTATAGTATTGCATAGTATAGTGTATAGTGTGTTGTGTGTAGTGTAGTGTATAGTCGTGTATAGAATAGTGTATAGTAGTCTATAGTGCAGTGTATAGTCGTGTATAGTGTAGTGTATAGTAGTGCATTGTGTAGTGCATTGTATAGTGTAGTACATAGTACTGTATAGCGTAGTGTATAGTCGTGTATAGTGTAGCGTTTAGTAGTGTATAGTGTAGTGTAGTGTTAGTAGTGTATAGTGCAGTGTATAGTCGTGTATAGTGTAGTGTGTATAGTTTTGCATAGTATAGTGTATAGTAGTGTATTGTGTAGTGCAGTTTATAGTGTAGTATATAGTAGTGTATAGTGTATAGTAGTTTTGTGTATAGTGTTTAGTAGTGTAGTGTATAGTCGTGTATAGTGTAGTGTATAGTAGTGTATAGTGCAGTGTATAGTCGTGTATAGTGTAGTGTATAGTAGTGCATTGTGTAGTGCAGTGTATAGTGTAGGAAATAGTACTGTATAGCGTAGTGTATAGTCGTGTATAGCGTAGCGTTTAGTAGTGCATAGTGTAGCGTATAGTAGTGTATAGTGTAGGGCATAATCGTGCAGTGTATTATTGAGAAATCGGCGCCATTGAGATAATTGAAGGCACGTGCCATAGTGGGGTGGAGGGCGCTGTCTGATATGGGCGGGGTTGAGAGGGTAAAAGGGTAAAGGTAAAGGTGTCGACATGCCAAGGGATAAGGTAAAGGGTAAGGTAAAGGTAGCTCGGAAGAATTACCCGGTAGGGTAACGGTAGCGCGAAGTTTTACCCGGTAAATACGGTGCCTTGTTTACCGCTAGAAGCTCCGTGGCGCAGTCCGTGGGCTCCATTTAATAAGTAATATTAAAAATAAACTTTCTTAAAAACACGCTTTTATTAAATGTACTAGTAATGGCAGAACTCCACGACTTCAGGAAGTGTCCCTGAAGTTTGCCACAACCGTTATAAACCTTGTTCATGTGTCGTAGTACCCCAGTAATTACCCTGTAATTGGGTAATTTGTATGGGTAAGGTAAAAGGTAGGCTCGTTGTTTTTACCTTTTAACTTTTACCTTACCTTGCCGAGGCCTACCCGGAGACCAACAAGCCACGAGGTGGAGGACATGGGAGCTGACTGTTCGCGGAAATGTATGTCTCCGCTATTCTTGAGAAATGACAGGTTTCACCTTTTTTTAGAATGGACGTCTCCAAGGAGTTTCTTTGCAGTAGTCTAGTGTATAGTGTCGTGTGTAAAGTAGTGTAGTGTGTATAGTAGTGTAGTGCAGTGTATAGTAGTGTAGTGCAGTGTATAGTAGTGTAGTGTATAGTGGTGTAGTGTAGTGTGTATAGTAGTGTAGTGCAGTGTATAGTAGTGTAGTGTAAAGTAGTGTGTATAGTAGTGCAGTGTATAGTAGTGTAGTGCAGTGTATAGTAGTGTAGTGCAGTGTATAGTAATGCAGTGTATGGTGGTGTAGTGTAGTGCATGGTAGTGTAGTGTGTATAGTAGTGTAGTGCAGTGTATAGTAGTGTAGGTAAAGTAGTGTAGTGTATAGTAGTGTAGTGTATAGTAGTGTAGTGCAGTGTATAGTAGTGTAGTGCAGTGTATAGTAATGCAGTGTATGGTAGTGTAGTGTAGTGCATAGTAGTGTAGTGTGTATAGTAGTGTAGTGCAGTGTAGTGTATGGTAGTGTAGTGCAGTGTATAGTAGCGTAGTGTAAAGTAGTGTAGTGTATAGTAGTGCAGTGTATAGTATAGTAGTGCAGTGTATAGTAGTGTAGTGCAGTGTATAGTAGTGCAGTATATAGTAGTGCAGTGTATAGTCGTGTGTGTGTAGTCTATAGTAGAGCATAGTAGTGCAGTATATAGTAGTGCATTGTATAGTAGGTATAGTGTGTATAGTATGTGTAGTGTGTAGAGTAGGTGTAGTGTGTATAGTCGCTGTAGATTAGTGTAATGTATAGCGTATTATATTGTGGTTATCGGCTTCCTTAAAGGCGGAAATAAGATTAGGGTGTTTTCCAGAACCTCGTTTGCTATGCACGAGTTGTGGATTCGACCCCAGACCCTACCACTATGGTGTTTCGTAGATGTTAGCTACCTTTGCTGCTACTCAGGAGGTCGCGGGTTCGATACTGACAACTAACGCCACGGTGGCCAGGAGATGTTAACTACCTCACCTGGTATGCAGGAGGTCGTGGGTTCGGTCCTGGACCCTGACGATGATTGCCGTTGCTATATATTTGTGCGTGTGGTGTCTGTAAGTGTGGGTGGCGTTCATAGGCGTGCGTGGCGTTCTTAAGTGTGGGTGGTGTTCGTAAGTGCTGATGGTGTTCGTAAATGTGGGTGGTGTTTCTAAGTACGGGTGGTGTTCGTAAGTGCTGGTGGTGTTCGTAAATGTGGGGGTAGTGTTTCTAAGTACGGGTGGTGTTCGTAAGTGCTGGTGGTGTTCGTAAATGTGGGTGGTGTTTCTAAGTACGGGTGGTGTTCGTAAGTGCTGGTGGTGTTCGTAAATGTGGGTGGTGTTTCTAAGTACGGGTGGTGTTCGTAAGTGCTGGTGGTGTTCGTAAATGTGGGTGGTGTTTCTAAGTACGGGTGGTGTTCGTAAGTGCTGGTGGTGTTTGTAAATGTGGGTGGTGTTTTTAAGTACGGGTGGTGTTCGTAAGTGCTGGTGGTGTTTGTAAATGTGGGTGGTGTTTCTAAGTACAGATGGTGTTCGTAAGTGCTGGTGGTGTTTGTAAATGTGGGTGGTTTTTAAGTACGGGTGGTGTTCGTAAGTGCTGGTGGTGTTTGTAAATGTGGGTGGTGTTTCTAAGTACGGGTGGTGTTCGTAAGTGCTGGTGGTGATACGTAAGTGTGAGTGGCGTTCTTAAGGAAATGCAGTTGTTCATAATCGTGGCTCTTATAAGCTGGGTGTTCGTAAGCTGAGGACCGCCCTACCTTGCTCCAATTCAGTTCGTTGTACTTGGCGTATTGGACAAGGCTCTGTGCACACCTCAGCAAGACTGAGGTGCCCTGCTGAGCCCAAACATCCTCCACCATGGCATCTATGGCCTCGTCTGTCAGTCTCTGTCTGTCTCTCTTTGCACATTCACTCCCCGTATATCCTGCACACACAGAGACAGATACACAGACAGATATACAGACACACGGACAGATATACAGACACACAGACAGATACACACGCAGACTGATACACACACAGACACGCACAAACACACACAGCCAAACAGATAGATACACACCACACACACACTACCCCGGTCGTGTGGTTGGAGAGGAAACAACAGGAGGTACAAGAACATTGATCATGCATAAAGTTTGTTATAGACTATACGGGGATCTTTGTCTTTGTGTATCTATTTGTGTACCTGTGTGTACCTATGTGTGTGTACATGTGAGTGTACCTGTGTGTGTGTACCTGTGTGTGTACCTGTGTGTACCTATGTGTGTGTGTACCTGTGAGTGTACCTGTGTGTGTACCTGTGTGTGTACCTGTGTGTGTGTACCTGTGAGTGTACCTGTGAGTGTACCTATGTGTGTGTGTACCAGTGTGTGTACCTGTTGTGTGTACCTGTGTGTGTACCTATGTGTGCACCTGTGAGTGTACCTGTGTTTGTACCTGTGAGTGTGTACCTGTGAGTGTACCTTTTTGTGTACCTGTGTGTGCATGTACCTAGGTATTTACCTGTGTGTTGTACTTAGGTATTTACCTGTGAGTGTACCTGCCGTGTGTGTGTGCCTGTGTGTGTACCTGTGTGTGTACCTGTGTGTGTACCTGTGAGTGTACCTGTGAGTTTGTACCTGTGAGTGTACCTGTTTGTGTACCTGTGTGTGCGTGTACCTAGGTATTTACCTGTGTGTGTACTTAGGTATTTACCTGTGTGTACCTGTGTGTGTGTACCTGTGTGTGTACCTGTGTGTGTGTACCTGTGTGTACCTGTGAGTATACCTGTGTTTGTACCTGTGAGTGTACCTGTGAGTGTTCCTTTTTGTGTACCTGTGTGTGCGTGTACCTAGGTATTTACCTGTGTGTGTACTTAGGTATTTACTTGTGAGTGTACCTGCGCGTGTGTGCGTACCTGTGAATATACCTGGGTGTACCTGTGGTGTACTTGTGTGTACCTCCATAATATAGGTTTTTTTTTGGGGTTAGTTCACGAAAATATAAATATTGTTGTCGTTAAACCCTTCACCACCCGACACAGCCAATTAGTAAGGGTTTGGTCACGTAAACAGAACGTGCCAATTCGTTACTAATGTAGCGACTGACTCAGAGACACTGAGTGTAGGATGCACTCTGTTTATTAACAACGGCCTAACTGTTAACCGCTCGTAACTACGGTTCCAGTCAGGACAGCTGGCAGACTTGCCTGAC